CATATTGTGTTATTTTTTTTTAACTTGTAATCTGATATTTTGTTACTGATATAATTTTGTTTGTCTTCGTCTTTTTTACGTATATTTTGAGGTCTATTGCAATTTCATGTTCTTATTTTAAATATATTAAGATGATGATAGTAACAATTTGAGTTTACTTCGGAGTGGAAACTTTCACAAGCATTTGTTGTACGATTTCTATCAGGAGTACCACTATCCCAAATATTAGGAAGGAACGTACAATTAACCTCAATGTAATTAGTCACTAAATAATCACAAAATTAATTAATTTTATTAGGAAATCACGTATGGGTATTTTTTTTTCGTGTCGGAACTTACGTGCGGGTATATTATTTTTTGTGTACACGCTTACCTGCTATTGTCGTTTGAGAACTTACCGAACCCCATTCACTTCACGTGACGTCAATTTCGACGGGCACCGTTATCTTGCTAAATCGCCTGTTTATTCAGCAATGATAACAATTGACAGTTGAAAATTAATCGTGGTAAAAGACCCCCGTGTCTCACTCTCACATCTCAAACGGTCGAACCGCTGTATATAGAGATGGCTATTGGCAATGGTTCGACTACCTTTTACATTTTATCGACAACGGCGCAATTATAACATTTTACGCGGGTCGAAAACATTTAAAAATTTACATGTGCCAAAGTATAATCTGGATCCCTCAAACGACGCCCATGCCTAAATACCCTCACATTAAGCGCGTTATAATATGCCGTAAACACATAAAAAATATCAAGACAGAATATGTATTTTTTTAAATTTTTCTTCCGTAAGTATTTGAAATACATACGACAAAATATTATAGACAAAAAGTATACAACCAATAAGAAGTTATAAATGTATACAGTTTGATCAGTCAATGGACACGCCGGGACACTTAAAAAAAAATTGTAATATGAAAACGAAAATGTGGGTATTTTTCTTATATAGATTCACATAAATGATAATTTTTTTTTTGTTATTTTTTATCTAATATACAAACGAAATTTACGAAAAATAGTACGGGAAATTCAATGTGGATCAGGGGCCCCCTACTGGATTTAATTATTCTTTTAATTTTAATTAACCCATAAAATCGAAGAATATCAAAAAAAGTTTTCAGAGTCGAAAATACTTGTAAAAATATAAATAATTTTGTTCAGTTTCATACAAAATCTATGGGTACGAGATAAGAGATATTCGTGTTAAATGGATTAAAAATAGGCCAACTTTTTCTTTTTGTCCCGGGCCTAAATATTCTAAATCAGGCTCTGTCTGCAGTATCCTAAAAACAATGATTGGCGAATGCTACAGAAATCCAAGCTCCGAGTTAATAACGGACGAAAAAGCAAACAATCAAATCTGTAAATTTAACAAGAGACCTATCTGCTGTGCGCTCTTCCGAAAAAAATCGCCGCATCTCGATAGAAAAAACAAAAACAAAAACCACCCTGTATATACGAAAATATGCTACCAGACGGTAGTTGTACATTATTATTGCTATTATATTATACTGTCGTTGCTGCGCGGCGCGCGTGTGAATATTTCATATTTTCGACCGCGCAGCACTCGAACGGCGGCGCGAATTCACAGCATTTTTTTTTTTGATAAATAACAATAATAATAATAAATAAAATATAATGCCCGTAAAATATTGTCGTTTTCATTATTTATTATAATACGCGTACACGGCCCGTACATAATGATAATATAATATAGGTATTTTTTTTTTTCATTATTATTATATTATATTTCTCCGCGTTTGAGAGGGACGGCTGCGGCGCGTAACGTTTTTGTGAATACGACGCGCGACGGTTGAACGACGAGGAGGTGAGTTGGCGCCAGCAAGGTCTGCTGGCCCGTTGTACGCACGACCGTATAATAAAAAATATTGTGTACGTGTGTGCGTGTGTGTATGTGTGTGTGAGAACGCCGCGTTATATAAATTTTTATTAACAACACGTCCGACTCCTTGGTATTTCTCGGTCGGTTTTTATGAATAGTGCCGGCCGGTCACTGGGTATTATTACTGTAAATAAGTACCCGCGTACTTTCGATTTCGGTTATTTCTGATTCCAATCGCGCGGGGAACATGTTTACAACCTGAAACCGACCGACATCATAATATCATAATAATATCACAAACGCGCGGGCGAGGCCCGAACCGCTGGACGTAAAAACACGAAAATGATCGCAAATAGAGGTTTCTCGTATACAATATTAGAATCCAGGGAAGCGTTTAAAAGGGATTTGTGAAGATTCGACCGAAGTGTTGAAATAGAGTGTCCGTCATTAGTTCGCAAAGAAAAAATTTAAAATGTTTATACAGCCAGGTTATGGTAACTAGATTCTGCGTTAAATTTGACGTATTTAAACCAAATGCTTCATAAATAAGTGACATAAGAGGGGCGAACGAGAAATGTAATTCCAGAGGAAAATCCCTATTCTTTATTATTCTAAATCCTATTCTGAATACTAATAAGAATTGTTAAATGTATCTAGCAGACATTCTGCTACTATTATTGACTGTTGAGAGTACATTCACATGTTAACTAGGTACATCAATAATCAATATTTAGGTAAATACCTTTCATACGATCTGTAAATAAAGTATTATACAATTCAATGGGCGTGTAACAGCTAATACACACATTTTTAACATATCTCACACGCCTTTTAATCGGTATACAATTTTTTTATTTCAGTTTCCTTGGAAATGTACACCAAACTTACTAATTCAAAATGGCCCTTGCTAGAAACATTTAAAGACTTAACAAAATAAATTATACAGCAAGTGATTATATAAATTCATGGTTATCACAATGTTTCATTAAACTGATTTTCCCTGATTTTTCCATGACATTCTCACGTTTTCCAGAACATATTTTATGAGCATTTTGTATAACAATAATATACCCAACACCCTGTTTATGACCAAACTAATATTATTTGAATATTGTTATCTTTTATTATACTTAAACTGCATCAGTAATTAACTTATTAGCATATTACATCATAGATATGTTAAAAGCATGTACAGATAATTTTTTTTTTATCAATTTTGTAAATTTATTTTTTAATATTTTAGTTATTTTGAATAATTAATATTAAAAGAATAATGAAAATATAAATTAGGGTTAGTTCAAAATAAAAATTCCAAAATTGCATGCAAATTCACTGAACAATCTATATTTTCCCTGACATTTTTAAATTCCCTGATTTTTCCAGGTATTTCAGGTTTCCATAAACCGTGGCAACCATGGATATTGATACCCTTATATAACAATAGTTTTGCATAAATATAAATAAATAATTCTATATCAAGTTCCATTATAATAATGCACGTAAAAAATATTTTATTTAAATAATGTTGAAAGTATCTTAAGTCATAACTAAATGATTATTGTTAATGGACGGACATAGTTATAATTTACAGATATATTACGTATAAGTACCAAATTATATAAATACATTAAAATATATACAACTAGTCTTTTCAAAAATGTAAATATATAATACCTGTATGAGTATACACACTAATTATAATAATTCAATAAGTATTTTAAAATGTATTCATAAAACAACATGGACTTTAAAAATGTTTAATAATAAAGGTTATTTAATTTTAAAAATTGTATTTTATTTAATAACTCAATTTAGGCCCAAGTTAAACGGATATTTAATGTGAACTAAATTTTAATTAGCTGGGCACATAACTAAAAATAGAAAAAAATTATATTTTAGTCACTTGATTTTTAAATATTTTAAGAAATATTCTACATTAAAATTGTATGTGAATACATTTTCTTAATACACAAAGATCTTTAATTTATTAATATCATACAGTTCAAATAAATATTTTTACAATTTTAAAAATATGTGCAATTCAGTGTTTATATAATAAAACAGACTTATTGGTATAGGTACCTACAGTAAGAGAATACAATTAATAATGGCTTTCTTTAAAACTTTGAACACAGAGAATTTTTGATTAATATAACATACAAAATAATATTGCACACACGAAATCAGTAATATTTTAACTACTTAATACTATGTAGTATTCTATTAACTTATATGCCTTATATTTGTGGAAATTAGCATGAGGGAACATTTGAGTAATTTTTTAAAAAAATGTGAATTAAGTTTAAAATTTGTATAGCTTCCAATAAATATTAGTTTACAATTTATTATAATAAAATTGTATTGTTAAATACCTATAGTTGTTTGTAATTTTAATTTTTAATTATACATTTAAGGTATGTATTGGTAACTGAAGGTAGATTGATAGTACACTTGGAGTTATACAAATTTGAAACTTCATCCATAGTATTTCTAAAAAATTTCTCTTTAAATAATGTCCAATAGTAATAGTTCATGTTTTACTGTTATGGATAAAAAAAAATTTAAAAGTTATGAATCTCTTATGCAGTTATGCTGACCATATAAAAAAAAATATGAAGAATATTTGTCACACACTCCACTCTAATGAAAGCAATACATTTTGTCCCATTTTTGTTAACACAGATCAGTAGTATCCTTATTTAAAGTTCATAAACACAGGATTTGAAATCAAAAGGAGGATATTTCAACATTTTTTTTTGGTAAATGAGTTAGTAGTAAAATTAAATAATAATTGTCTTGCTTTACAAAAAAAAAAAAATTGTGCACCTTATATCATTGCATAAATATTGTGTTACTTTTAAAATTAAATAATATTTGTCTTGTTTTACAAAAAAAAAAAAAATTGTGACCTTATATCATTGCATAAATATTGTGTTACTTTTACATTAAGTACTAATATTAATATTATTATCTCATATGTATAATACTGGTAGAACTAAAAATAAAATTATAAAAAAATTGATCATAAATACTTTGGAGGGATAATTGAAGTAAACTTAAAGAATATTATAAATGAGTATAAAATATAATAGTATAAAAAATATTGTGTTAAAAAGAAATTGAGATTACTTGTTAAATGTATGGGTATGCATTAAAGTATTATATATATATTTAAATTCTTAATGACACTGTACAAAGTACACAGCAACAGTATTGACAAGAAAAATGAGTTTCTTGAACCCCCATTGGATGTGTATAATTCTGGATTACCTATAAAATACACACACAAGTTAAAAATTAATGTCATTTATAAATATTTTACATTGTCACGTGGAATATTAAGTCAATAGTTAATTTGGGTTAGTTACTGAAAACAACAATAAATAAATAGTAAATTTTCAAAATTAAAAATAATTTCAAGCAGTAGTCAAGTCGGTAAGTTATAGGGTTTTACTAATTCTAATAATAATTAATTAATAATATATAATAACTAAATCTATCAAATCTACAAATTAATTAGTTTGGTGGTATATATATTTGCATTACAGTATGTATTTTACAATCGAATATAATAAAATGAAATTGTAGTTGTAAGTATAATTAATATTCAAATTCTTAATTTAAGAGTATGATTAAAAAATGTTTAATGTAGGAAATTATTAAATATTAGATATTACAAAACAATTTTAGATTAGCTGAAAGTACTTTATTTAAAACAAAATGTTAAATTATTAATACCAAATTACTTAAGAACAGTAAAAAATTAATTCTGAATAAAATGCATGCAAAACTAAACATAAAACACATTGAATAAATACTACCAAGTACCAATATTATTTAATATCAATAATCAATTTCACACACTCATATTAAGTTAAAATATAAGGTTGGTATCAACATCATAAATTGCATGCTGAACAATTTTATTTATCATTTTACTTACATTTAGAAAGAGAAGTGTAAGCTTGTTGTTCTATTTTGTATACAATAATTTATGTTTATACATATGCCTATCACTATTCTTACTATTTAGGATTTCCTGCAATTACACATGTAGGTATTATTAAAACCAATTGTAAGAACAAAAAAAAAGGCTGATACTGTGGAGGGGTATGGCCACTGTTATAAGTGGGTAGTGGGCAAGGGTGGATACATACATAAAGTTATTTAATTTATACTTTTAACTAACAAAAATGGTTTATCATTGATAATGTAAATCAGAATGAAATTAAATTTAATTAAATTAAATTTAAAAAAAGGTTTGATTATCAGTTCCACAAAAATGGTAAAATTTGTATATATACATTATACATTTTTAGAGGAAATTTTGTATTTTTATATCATGTTAAAGTTACATCAAAAAAAGTACTTTTTCTTAATATATAATATTTTATCTGTTTATTCATATATTTTATTAAATTTATTCAATTTATATTCAATCTGTTTACTCCCTACAATTGTAAAATTAATACTGTTCTAAAATAATAGTAATATCAAACCTGTTTCCTATTATAAACTAAATCTATTATAAGATAAAAGATATTGAATTTATTGAAAGTAAAATTGGTAGAAAAATGTTAGTTTTGGATGATTTTAAGTATTACTTTACCGCTAACAGATGGAAATGTTACAAAAAAGATTATTCTGCTAGTGTTTATACTAATGAAAAAACTGAAATAGTCAAAAGAAATGGTAACTTTTAAAATTTATTTTACAGAGAATTTTAAATGAAATATATTATAGTCAATATTGTATTATTAATAAATACATTTACATATAGCAGATCACAATCACGAGCCATGCAGTACAACCCATAGACAAAAAATTTAAACAACATATAAAAGAAAAGCAATTGAATATATATAATATATAATCCAAAAACAATTATTTTGTCTAAAGTATATTCATTAAATTCCAACATCAATATTAACACAAGAGATGTTTTAGCTATTCATAAATGCATTAATCGAGCCAGAAATCAAATTTTATCAAAATATCCAACTTGCATAGATGAAGTACATGAAGTTATTGATTTTTTAAAACCCATAACTTCTAAAAATGAGAACTTTTTAATGGTAACAATTTAAATGCAAATATAATTATTTTTTCTTGCAAACTAATTTAAGCTTTATTTATAAAACTGAAACAGTGTCTGTTGATGGGGCCTTATCATTGTTTTGTACTTGATTTTATGTCAGATATTGCAGATAATCATTTATATTTACAATATATTTATTAAGACACTTATATAGGTACATGAAAATTCAATATTCCTTCCAAAAATATGGGAAATTTATGTCTACAAATAATAATAATAATAACAATAATAAACTACTAATAATTGTGAATCATTTCATTCTTACTTTAATGAACAGTTTTATAAATCACACCCAACTATTAGTATATTTTTAAAAATTTTGATTGAAAATGTTCAGACAGACACATTAAAAAAAATAGCACCACCAATTTAAATATTCAAAATGATAAAAAAAATAATTCACTTTATTAAAATGTACCAAAACTAGTAAAACTATAAGTGATTTTAAAAATAAAAAAAATATCACATTACTCATATATCAAATGTGTTGTATTTAATTATGCTAAGTAAATAAACAATACATTATGTCAATGACTTTTAATATGACTGTATTTTGTTGTTGTTTATTTTTATAAAACTATTATATAAAACAGAATAAACAGGCAAAATATTATATTGTGTAAAAGTGACTTTTGATGACTTTGCTTTGGAATTTATTTTATAAAAACTATTATAAATGATATGGAATAAATAGACCAAATATTATATTATGTGAAAATGACCTTTTGATAAAACTTTGTAATGTAAGTATAATAACTTTGACAGGTATATTGTCGGAAATGGGAATCAAACCTTTTTCATTTTAAATTTTAAATGTTGGCGGAAACAGTACATTCTCAGTTATATATGTTTTGGGCGATCATGATATTTATCAATCAAAATTTAATATTAACTCTTACAAAAAACAAAAAATACTATATTAAACTAAATTATTTTTTTATAATAATATTATAAACCTCCTATCAAATTGTCAAGCTTTTTTGTTAAGTCTACCAATTTATCCAGAGTACCTACCAAAAAAAAAAATTACATAAAAAATCTTACAAAATTAATATGTCTATACAAATTGCTCAAATGTTCAGACAGAAAAAAAAACACTTATCATAGTAAAACCAATAGTTTCCTACACTTCAAATCTAAAAATATTGTTTAATGTTCCTAATATTCACAAATATTGTAGACATACAAATATGTGAAAGATTCATTGTTGTGATAACTTATATATTTTATAAAGAATAATAATAGTTTATGTATTCAATTTTTTAAAAAAAATATGTAATAATTAAACAAAACTCTCAAACACTTGTATAGTCGTAGTGTGATTGTTTTGTATGCCTGTGTAGGAGGGGTGGTTATAGCTCTAACAAAAATATTTATATGGGTACATATATGTATATATATATATCTACTCCTAGGTACTAGTACCTCCCTTAAAGGTAACTAATAGCTTTTTATACTCAGAATCTTAAATAAATCATTTTTACTTTACTATAATAAAAATCTTTACTTTATATTGTTAAATAAAATTTTAAACTCTCATCATATTTTAAATTTGTCAATATAAACTCAAACTTGTAAACTTTCTGTTGAAAATTTAATTTTCAAACCTAAAATAAATAATACTATCAAATATCCATTTATTTTAATTTAAAGTATAAAACAAGCTTTAAATAGTTAGATATTGTGTACATTTTTCGCAAAAAAAAAGTACCAAAAAAATATATTCTTGTATTCTTATTTTATAGGGGGTTAGCTGTCAGAAATGTTGAGCGGTCTAGAAGAGAATATGGAGGGAAATAATAGCTCCCATAGCCCTCTCCCTCATTCTATGCATTCACTTGCAAAATATCTTAAATACAGTATATGTTATAAACATAAAAGTATTTAAATCAAGGCTCATAGAAATAAATGCTATATTATAACTTTACCCATTTGAAATGTATGAGCTGGTGATGACATCCGTCCATCACCTCCATTTGAATATGCCAATACTCTTAACTTATATACTTTTCCGGGTGTCAACTTTGTAATTTTTGCTTCTAATGTACTTCCAATTGTTACAATAGTGTCATTTGCAGTACTCATGTCTTGATCATATTCCCAAACACGGACCTTTGCACAAATATCATATATTTATACATAGGTATATAATCAAGATTATAGGTATAAAAATCAGAATATATATTTTTAATAATACAAACCTTATAACCCTTAATGGGTTCTTCATCAAGTGTAGGTTGGACATATCTCCAACTAACAACAATAGAGTCAGGATTAATGCCTTCAATTTCAACAGATGATGGTGGTTTTTGAGGAGCTTTCCTATAAGTCCGTTCTGTAAAGAAATGTATACAAATTTAAAACCTACAAGATATATCATACACTAATCAATTTATTAAAGTGATTACATTTTTTAAGTTCAGTTTAATTTAATGTTTTGCATGTAAAATTTATATATTCTAGAATTTATTTTATGCTCTAATTTGCAGCTGGATGTGAAAAAGTTGTAAGTCACCAATTGTGAAAAATGTGTTATTTATAAACAAAAGGCAGCAAAAATCTCTATGTATCTTGTAAGATATGTTAAGTCCAATTTTTTTCTTTAAATATTGAATATATTATTATAATGTGGGATTTGTGATGTCATTTCTTTTTTTCATGAACTTTAAGTTATGTGGCATAGTACCCATATCCTGTTTCCTGAATTCAGTGTCAATTCAGATGAGTCATTTTAAAATTATTTAAATTAATGTGAATAGTTATAAATTTGTCACTTTATTTTATTTTTTAGATTAACATAAAAAAAAAAATTTGAATATTTAAATATAAAACTATTTTTTTACTATTCAAATTTGTATGTTTATTTAATGATCGCTTATAGGTGACAGATATTTAAATGGCAAACTATTTAAAAGTTCCAAATTATTTTTATATAATAAACATATTATATTCATTTTGTATCTTACCTATGTATCTCTCACTCTCTGGACCTTCACCAGCAGAATTAAATGCCATTACTTTCACATAGTATTCAGTATCTGGTTGCAATCCTACAATAAGTGCCCAAGGCTTGGTTGACCTACTCAAATAGTAAACTGCATCTTCTTCTTTTTCAATATCATTTTTTTTCCAATATTTCAACTAATCAATTACAAAATAATATAATTTGTTATATATTTTATTTTATTGTATATTATATAATTACCCTATGGCCAATTAATTTTCCACGCAACATTTCACGTGATTGGTCAATTCCAATCCAGCTTACATTTACAGCAGTTGAGTTATAAGAAATTGCAAACACCTGTTGAGGGGAAACTTGAGGCATATCTTCTGCGCTATAAATCACTTTAGGCTCTGAAATGGGACCGGCTCCAATTGAATTGAATGCCTATGAACAAAAAATTAGTAATAAAAATTAATAATTTAGATAGACAATATTATCTGAAAGTCATACTTGTACTTTAACTTCATATTGAGTATAATAAAATTCTGGTTTAATGTGTACAACAGCCATTCCAATATTACCACTATCTTGTAATGTTTCATACTGAAAATCTGTATCATGGTTTAAACGTCTCCAGTAAACTTTATAAAAAATGTCTGGTCCATTTTGATCTTGAGGAGGTAGTTGCTAAATGGTAAATTCAAATTAGAAATGTTATAGAAAATTGTGAGTAAAAATCCATTACTTTCCACACAATGGTTAAATCTCCAATTTTTCCTCCACCTCCTGTGATATTTGATGGGGCTTTGTATGGGCGATCAGCTGGCGAATTAACTTGAGGAGAAGGAAGAGATATTTCGCCAAATCCAATATCATTACCTGCAGCCATTCTAAATTCATATTTAGACCAGGGTTGCAGTACATTTTCTAAAAATGCTTCTTTTCGGCCATTGTATCTATCCACTTCCTTGGCTATAATATCTGAAACACAATATTTCTTAGGAAACCAAAATAAAATTAGTTAATTAAACTTACCTGTGGCAATAGTATACCAAGTACTGTTCCAATGAGTTCGGGCACTTACAGCATATCGTGTAATTTGGCGTCCATTTGCAGAACCATCAGTCCATTGAAGTTTAGCTGATGTTTTTAAAACTTCAACTTGTACACCCCCTAAATCATCATTAATTTAATTTTAATAATATTAACTTGTATAGAAACATGAAAAAAAATATGAAATTTACCAGGAGATCCAGGAGGACCGTCAACATATAATGTAGTCATTGAAGAAATGTCACCTACAACACTGCGAACAAAACATTTATATTCACCGGAGTCCTCTAATGTCAAGTTATGGATATATAATTCTCCACCATTGATGCTCTATAATAATTACAAACATCGCAGTTTTTTTTAAAAAAAAAATACTATACCAGAACATTTTTTCACCATTATTACATTTTCATGATTAAATATTATAAATCAATAATTAATACTTACAACGTGTCCAATTTTCTCAGAATTAGAATCAACTAATGGCAAACTATTGTGGGTCCAAATGTATGCCATGTCTAAGAGTTCATCTGAAGTTGCTTGGCATCTTAATAATAAATCATGTTGAATAACTGTTCGAATTTGAGGATTAAGTTGTTCAACAAACACTGGACCTCCTATAATAATTACTATATACAAATCTGTAAAGTCAAAAACTAAAAATTATAACTTACGCATTACAATGAGTTTTCCATGGCTTTCATCATTACCCACAATATTTTGAGCAATACAAGTATAAATACCTTCGTCATCTTTTCGAACTGGATTAATAACTAAATTTCCATTATCCAAAATGCGATGCTTACCTCCAGATCCTATGAAAATAATTTATACCATCTTTCATCTTTGATAATAGTGCAATTTTTAACTACATAAAATATAATTTATGTTACATGACTAAATAAACAAGCATTCCAGAAAAACCATGTGTTTTCCTTATTGCTGTGATGTGCCTAAGACTTTGATAATAACCGTGATCAAAATAAACCAATTTTAATCAAATCATTTTTTTTTTGTTTTTCAATGTTTTCATTACACTAAATAATTTTATTAACATGCCTGTTTATTTAGCTGCATTACATGCCAAATAGAAAAATAAGTCAATGTAAAAATTGAATACTTAAAGTTATAATACTTGATAAAAACACAAAATGTACACCAGCAAATTTCCTACTTTACTCAAACAAATTAAATTATCAATTAAACTAAAAACAAACACATCTAACCTATAATGTTTCCATCTTTTTTCCATGTAAATTTTGGTTTAGGTGCTGCCTCTGGATTACATTCAATAGTTAAATTTTTGCCTTCAGCACCATAAATTTCAGATTTGACTGGTTTTTTTTTAAATGATGGGCTTATTCCTATAAACACATATAATTGTATTTAATATTCTGTACTTGTTAGCAGAACAGTGTTAAACTTATAACTTACTCAACACTTTCAATTGAGCAGAAGAATAACGAGTTTTCAAGGTATTTGATGCTTGACACTGATACATTCCAGAATCTTTATCATCTTTCAAAAATCGTATGGTTAATACATTATCTTGTATTGAATATCGCATTTGATCACTAGAGTCTAATTTTTCAATTTCTAATGGTTTGCCATTTTTGAACCATTTATATGTTACATCAGGCACACCAAATGCTTCACAAGACCATGTTAAAGTGTCATCATTATCCATATATTTATCAGTAAGTGGAATAGTAAAATTTGGTTCAGCTAGATTAATATTAAAGTTTATAATAAATTATATTATTCATTGATTAAATAAAAGAAAAGTAGTTATTAATATTATTGATATTTTATAAAAATAAATAATTTAAATAAAATTGAAGATAAATAATAAAGTGTATTATTGTTGGATAACTTATATAATCACCTTGTATTGTAAGAGATACACTTTTTTGTTTACTATCTCTATCATTAAAAACATGGCAAACATACTCTCCTTGATCTTCTACTTGAACTTCTGGAATTATCAACACACGATTGTAACTTTCTAAAATAGAACCTTTAGGTAATGGATAGCCTTTTCTTGTCCAATTATATGAAGGTACAGGACTAAAATTAAACATAATATATATAATATATACATTTTTTATTTAACTAATGTTCTAATAATCTACATCTATACTATATATAATACAACAATAATTAATAATTTATAATAATAATAATATACTATAATATTCAATATTATAAAGAGGAAAGATTTGTATGTTTATAACCTACAGGACAGATTTAAACAATTTGTTCACCATTAAAATGCTTACATTATCCCTGAGTAACAAAGGCTATATTTATTCATAGAAAAAAAAAGGAATCCATATGAAAATTACAATAATTAAGTTTTTAGATGTTTTTGGTAATTGTTTAATTATTTATTTATTGTTATTTTGTGAGTTATCTTGGTGTTATGGATCATTATTTGGTTGTCATGGACAACAAAAATATTGTTATTATTATTTTTATTTTACTATTCTTTACACTATTACTTAACAATAATGAAGCACATACACTGTTTATTCTTATTTTTTTAGATTTGAAAAAAAAAACATTCAAACAATATGTCTAGAAAGAAAAGGTCACAACTACTAAACATAATATCCAAGCAAGATTATCAAAAATATGTTGAATTGGAGAATATTTTTCTGAAAATTCAGAGTCAGCAAATTAGAAAAAATATGAGTCTCAATCACGGGCCAGAGAATCTAGTGCAGCGCCTTGCTTAAAATAGAGCTGAAACTTGCTAACTAGTGCATAGGAATCTAGCAGTGGCTTATGGCATAGAGAGAAAGACAACAGTCCTTAAAAACTAAAAATCACAATAGAAATTTAGTACATAGTTATAGATCAGCATTCAATTGAATTATGGATAACCATAATAACACAAAATGAAACATTTTTAAACAAAAAAAATAAATAATAAACAAAAATAAAATTTTATAATAACTATGACAACTTCAAATAAAGAGTCTGTCTGACTGTCTAGTGGTCTAATATTGGCTTGAAATAATATGGGCTACCTTGTTAACATGGATAAAGAAAAAAACTCAAAACTATGCACTGTACTGGGTAAGTGAAAAGTGAAACCGGTGTTTTTGAATCTTTGTATTTTTTGGTATATTAATAATACTATTAATAATGTTAATATAGTAGATATAATATAATTAAATAATGTGTAATATGTTGTGTGAGTATCTATGGTAACATGGATGAAAAAAGTATGACACACTAGAATATTTTTTGTCCATCGGACTACCAAAACTATTTTCTTTATGTCAATACACTAATATGGGCAAAGCAATATGGGAATAAAGATAAAAATAATAAAAAATTAGCACAGGAACTGGCGCAAGACACCTAGTGATAAATATAATTAAAATAGACAAATATTTAAGTTAGATAAAATATAAACCAAAAATGATTACTCACTAAGCAAATGCCACACATTCAAGTCGTACTTCTTGACCTGAAATGGGAGCTTCAGGAAAAGCTTTTGGAAAATTGTTTGGTAATATAAGCTGTTGATAATCAGCTATAAAAAATACAATGATTATTACTTTTAAGAGTACCATTTAAAATCAATTGAAATAAAATGTACATACAATGTGTTACTACTTGCAATGGGAATAAAGGCCCATTTTTGCCTGTATTTGAAACTTTACTTTGAACATTACAACTATAATTTCCTTGGTCCATGTCTTCCAATGAGGAAAAATATAAATAACCATCAAATGATACAAAAACTCTACGATCTTCTTGCACTAAATTTGGAAATGACTCTCTTACCCAATTATATCTCACATCTAAAATACAAGTTATAATCAATTTAATAATATGTATTTAAAATACAAAATATACTATTGTCTTACCAGGAAAATATTGAGGCGGATCACAAAATATGGTTTTTCCCCAATTTTTATTTCCCCGCTCAGGAGCACGTTGTAAATTAAATTCACCAATAAACCCAAAAGAAAGTTTAATGCTTTCAGAAATTATAGAACCAAACATATTTGATGCTTTGCAATAGTACCGACCTCTATCCCCAATCTAATAAAAATAAAAAATAATAAATATTATAACATATAAGTAAGTTATATTTTATAAAGTATCATAAAATAAATAATCATTGAATAGTAAAAAAAAAAATAGTTGCTCCACATTAGTCTACTTTCTTAGTTCTTTTAAACTATGCAACAGATTTTAAGATTTTAATATGATTTTCACTATCATTTAAATAATTTCTTCCAGATGATTTAAAAAAATATTAAATATTATATTTATAGAAAATAGATAAAAGTCTATGTTTTGTAATCAACTTGTAAAAAAGAAATATTTTTAAACACTTACATTGCTAACCTTATAAGATACATAAAAATAATGAACTGCGAAATAGTATATATTAAAAATGCCTACAAAAAAGTAAATGAATGGTATGTCTATCTTCTAAGGATAACCCAAATTAACCATTAATTGTTTGGATCAATGTTTGTTACCCAATCATGCCAAAACTACTGACCAAATTGAACTTTGAAACTTTGCATAGATGCAGTTCTAGGCTAAGAATAATTATAGGCTACAGTTTCCTTGAAATCCACCCTAAAAGAGGTCTCATACAGGATTGTTAGTACTTATTATATAAAAATCAAATTATTCTTTGTTGATTTATGGGTTAAATAAAAAAAAAAAGAGCTGATACTGAGGATGGGAGTGGCCACTGGTGTAGGTGTGAAGATGGGTAGGTAGGATAAATAAGGTTATTTTATTTATATCTGTAAGCAATGATAAACCATTGCTTGACAAAAGACAATTCTAAGCACAGTTCGGTAGTACATAATTTTTGCAATTTTCATTTAAATTTGATTTCAAAATGCTTATTAAAAAAAAAATTTAAAAAAGTCATCTGATGATTTTGGAAATTTTACACTTCTAGCAAGATCCAATAAGTATTATTACCGTTTCAAGTCTCAACGTGTATTTATAACCGAATTACAGCAAAAAAACTCCTAAAACTTAAAATTCCTTTAAAGCTCAAAAGTGACTCAAAAGTTTTAATAATGAAAAAAGTAAATCAAAACGTCAAAAAAAAGATGTCTTGTGATATTTCGATTAAATCATTTTTTCTGGTAGAAAATGTGCATGGTGTTTTTAAAAAATAATGAAATTGTATGTTTTCCTATGTTTTTTCCCACTTAAGTGCTTTTATTTAAAAAATGGTGTCGAAAATTACCTGTTTAAAGTTCAATATAGACAACTTAAACACCGCAAGTTTACTAGGTAAAAATGTGTCTACAGACTAGAAGAAAAAAAAAGAAATAAACATCTTAGTAAAACAATAGGTCCCTTGCAACGCTTGGAATTTTAACTAATTTAAATTTAAAATAAAACAATGAATCAGTAAAACGTTATAATTGTGGTGAGGATAATATCTATAGAAGCTGGTTACACAGAGTGTTGTTGGACTGTATTAATTCTTTTGGCATGAATAACCATAGGACAATATATATCCTATGCTAGTAATATATAATATATAATTTTTTTTTTACCGGTTGGGGTGAAGAAATTAAGAGTGTGCCTCCTGTTAAGGTAAATCTACTATTACTCAATGGATCTATTCTCAATGATAACAATTGATCATTATTGTCATATTCTTCTCTGAACCACTCATAGGTTGGTGATGGATAACCTCCAGCAAGACAACTAAAATTAAAAAAGCATCAAAAATTCAACTATAATAATATAATTTAATGAATTATTATAATATATACCTACTTTAAAGTTACATCATTTGTAATTCCTTTCCTAGAACCATCAAATACTACATTCACTGGTTGTTTTATGAAATAAGGACCACGAGGAATTTTCTCATCATCCTCAATATTATATCCATATTTATATGACCGTTGTTCTGATTGTATATTCTGTTTACCAGCAGGTATTTCACATATATAATGTAAATATCTGTCACCTGGAACTTTTTCAAATCCCCATTTTTGTAATTGGTTAGAATATCTGAAAAATGTATAGTTGAAATAATTATACAGAGGTACCTAATAACAAAACTCTAATTAAGTTTATACATTTATATCACTCAATTATCTATTTAATAAACACCAATGATAATTATAATATACTTAAATAGACTACAATATTACTCAGAAAATAATTTCTTTGAACTCATTAAACACTCATTATCTCAGAGAGTATATACTTTTTTCTTCTTTGTAAATAACTCTAAAATGTTCCATTAATGTTATTTTTGGATAAAAAAAAAAAAAAAAACTAATTTTTAATGTAAGTTGCTTTTTTAAAATCATAAATGGATAATGTTTTTACCTCAAAAAATAAATGTGATAAAAATAATGACAATGTAACATTTCAGAAATATTTGTTTTTCACTTATTGTCTTACGAAAAATTTAAAAAAGTAAATACTTTTTAAGATAATTAGTGTTTTATGGAGGATAAAAATGGAAGATATTTTTCATATTGTTAATGGAAAAAAGATTTCCTAGAAAAAAAAAATAGGAAACATTAAATAGTGAAAACTAGTTTATTTTTTAAAATAAATTAAATTCTGGATTTTAGCATTACTACAGCCTTTCAAAATTCCTCTATAAATATTTCCCAATTTTTTCCCACTATATTTATTTATTTACAAAATAATAATCAAAAACTTTATTTTCCAAGTAAATATTTAGGTCTAATACCATATGTGTACACATTAAAATCACTTACGTATAAGCTAAATAATCTCTATTTAAAGTAGAGTGTTGTTCAGGTAAAAGGGCATTTTCAATATCAATTAAGGGCATACTAGTATCTGCATCATTTGACCAGACACCAGGGCTTGTTTGTTTACCACTTACATACCACTGTTGATGCTGTTGATCGAGTTGCAAAAGTTGGTTAATGAGAAAACCATGTTCCTCTAAATTATTGACACTAGCTAATTCACCCTCATAAGCCTAAAAAAAAAAATTTTTTTTAACTTATATTACTAAAAATAAAATTATGATAAAAGTAAAACAAAACAGTAAATTTAAAGGAATCAGAAATAATTGGAACAGATAATAAATTATCATAATCAGAAAATCGTTCTAAGTAGAGCTTGATATTTAAATGTTAAGTTTTCTTTGAATTTTAAAAAATCTATTTCAAAATATTGAGTTGTAACTAGTAATACTAAACAAAATAATATGAGATTTAAAGTCAACTAATGTACCTATGTTATTGTCTTAATATGAGTTTTATTCAGAGTTTGGAGTTTATTCAAAAGTTTTGATTTTAGAGAACAAATTCACATATTCCAACATATTCTAATAGTTAACAAACAAAAAAAAAATGTTTTAACAGCAATGTAAATTTTACTAGGATGTTTTTTCTTTCTTGTTCAATTGATATTAGTGTATATTGATTATGTTTTACTGGCTGATTACATCCTATTTTGATCTTTTTCTCCATTTTAGAGTTTCAATTGGGTTTGGTTGTAGTAGGTATGCATTCAACATGAAAAATCGGGAATTTCCGTTGTGTGTGGCAATATTATTTTAAGTGATTGCAAGCCAGATATTAGACTGGGGATGTGAGAACCATCGAGTTTTTAATTAATAACAACATATTAAAAATTAATTCCAATTGGAATAAAACACAAAGAAAATTAAAATAAAAACAAAAATCTATCAAAAACAAATAAACAATTTAGGAAATATTTTATTCAGATTAGATTATTTAAAAAAAAAATGTTTTCCTCTCAATAATACCACGATAATTAAAAATCTTAACTGCAGGTAATAATAATAATAATAATTATCTATAACAAAAAAATATTGACTGTAAATTTCAAATACCTAAAATTTAGGTATTTAATGTCATATTTACAATTTCAAAAAAAAAAAAAAATTATAATAAAGAAAACATTGATAATATACCTAGATGTATAATTTTTTTTTTTTTATTGCAATGCTTAATTATTATGTATTGCTAATTGTAATAACTAATAAATAATGACACTATGTAATATTATTTTCTTATCTACCTATAAGTAATATCTTTTAATATAATAATTAGTAATCACTGGTCACAATCCAAATCCAAACAGAACACAATCAAAATTTTGTTGGATACAATACACATGATAGATTTTTTATTTACCTGATATTGGGATGCAATTAACAGTTTTGGGTTTTATTAACCAGCAAATGTTATATAATGATTTTTAAAACTGCTTGTAAATAAAACTCTATCAATAATATTCTAGACTAAATTTTTATTTTTTGTTAATTTTAAATTCTAAATATGATGAAAAGTTTCTTTGCTTTAATAGGATTAGTTTTTTTTCTCTTATTCAATTTATCTATTTTACTTATATTAATAAATAATAATAAATAATAATTAAGTTCTTAATAAAGCTTTGTTGTAGATGTAAATTCTAAATGGTTTTACAAATTTTTTTTTTCTTTTCTTCTTCAGTAAGTAATAGTTATAGATCAGTCAAATTTAGTTTAAAATTAGTTATTTTACTATACTTTTTAAAGTTAAACTAATATTTAAACAAAATATAACCAACAAATTCCATGCCAAGTTGTTTCTTGCATATTTATTTTTTTTTCTGAGTAACTTTCTATTTATATGATGGAGAGACTATTAGTTTTTTATTTTTATGAAATTAAATTCCATTTACAGTATAGTAATACAATAATATCAGCAGTAGGTATTGGTAAATATCACAATATTAAAAAAATAACATAATACAATTAAACTTATAATATACTGTAAATAGTTAAATAATACCATAGGTATTATGTATACTAAAAGAATAGTATAGCATGATATAAGTTATATAATGTGTAATGGGCCCAACATAGGAATAGGACTTGGAGGAAAAATGTTGAAATAAATCAAACTCCAACTCGAGTTTACAAATAATTAATATTTCCACTCAAAATTATTACAAGTCCAAAAATATTCATAGAATGTTGTGATACAAAGTTGCTCACATTTAATTGTGATGGACTCATCTGATTAGATAATGTTTCAGGCATAGTTATATATGCTCATAAGGGACCCATTAATAGTCGCGGTTATCTATATTATTTTCTTAGTAGTACACTTTTTTTTTTTATTATTTTATATGTCATCGCTAATGTGTTATGTTATGTACAATTTAACATTTTACTATTGCTTCGGTTCGCTCTTATTCGGTGCTGGTTGGAAGATTAAAGGTTAATAAGTTTCTTAGCTTCAGCTTTGGTTGTGGTCCCCCCTTTTTTGAATAATTTGGTGCGCATGTAATTTAACCCTGCATTTACTAAGAGTTCATGCGCGAATGCTTATAATAGCATGTGAGCAAATAACAAATGATTAAAACAAGTACAGGGAAAAAATAAAAACTAGGGAAAACCATTTTTTAAATATGCATTAATAGCTCATTCAATATTATTGATATTGTGAACAAATTAATCCAAGTAACTAGAATTTACAATAAAAGTGTTTAAACAGGGAACCTAAAAGAGTGTATATTTTCAAAGCATATAAATTAGTTTGGTTTTCATCTACTTTAAAATTTAATTTTTCTATAAAATAATAACAATCTATTTCATTCAAATCCATCAAAACTTCTAAAATTTTTATCTAGTAGTAGGTATTTTATTTTAACTAATTAAAAAAAAAAAATAATAAAAACTTAACGCAATAGATGATATTATATCAGTTTTATTTCTGTGTTAGTTTGGATAACTGTACAAGGGAAAAATCATGACTTATACTAGTTATCTACCCTCAGGGGGACACTTCTAGTTAGGTTAGACTATATCGAGAGCTCTTAGCTCCTATAACACCTATGAAAAGGGGGTTGACAGGGGCATCCACAAGGTGGGAGAGGAGCGAATGGGGCAGTTGCTCCCCCAATAGCCTTTTTTTTCTTCAAATTTATGTAATTTGTATCACACTAGGAAAATATACAAAATTCTACTGAAAATAATGTGATATCACATATCAGATTTGAAAAAAAAAAACGAATATTATCCCTCTGAAATAAAACAAATGGTATCTAGAATTAGTATTTTTTCCCATAATTAAAAAAGCTCTTGTTTATATTGAGAACTTTACCAGTTAGTATTTCTTCAGCGAAATCTAGCTTTTCAACACTGTGCAGATTGTGTTTCTTATTTAATCATAAATTGGCACCTAATTAATTTTTACTAGGTTATCAAAAAGACATCAACAATAAATTAATACAGGAAAGGGTAGATAAAAAAAAAACATCCTAGGATAATGGAGTTTCAATTTAAGCAACAATAAACCATTGCTTACAAAAAAAACAGTTCAGTTGATAGTGATGTTTTGTCAACAAAATATATGTCATATTATGGTAAAATAATTAAATAAGTATAATATATTTTCTTTAATAATATTAGTTTAATGTTGTACAGATTTTTCCAATTTTGCTGATGTTTTTCCTAGTTTTTCAAATTTGATGGAAAAACTCCTGAGAAAATTGAAAAATGATCTCTTTTAATAACCTCCCCACACTGATATCCTTTTAGAAAAATAGCTACACTTAGAAATCCGAACAAGTCTTCTGATAAAAAAGTTGTTAATAGATAAAAAAAAAAAACATCTTTGTAAAAACATAAGCTTTCTTTGCTCTACTCAGAATCTAAAATAGATTTAAGGAAAGTTTTGAAAGAAATGTAGTGTATACTTAATACTATATTGCGCTATGATAAAAAAATGTTATAATTATTTTCTTTATCTACCTACCTATTCCTTTTTATGCAAGTTAATGATTGATTATTGATAATTAATACAAAATTTCTCATTTATTGTTATACAAGTTGTAGTTTCAGTGTTCAAGTGTTTAAAATAATAATTTAAAAATGGGTTATTTATTGAACTAAACAGAAGTTTTACTTATTATGTAAAATTATTGGATAATGGATAATGCTCACTGGATATTATATAATAACTAGATCTATTAAACTAAAAACACAAAAATATATTAATTATTAACTACAAATACCTAGCACAGATAAACTGATTCATTCAACACATAACATTAATTATTTTTAATATTATTCACTTTTTTGGAATTTTTTTTGGGAAATTTGTTTAAACATTAAAATCTTAAATTAGTGGTATGATATTTTTAATCTCTGGTTCTACCTTAAATGAGTATCAAATTTTATTTTTCAAATGAAAACCCCTATTTTTAATACCAGAAATCTATAAGGTTATTTTTTTTATGAATTCAAATATAATTTATAAGAAAAATATTCTAATACATTTCTTGTATACTTGAACTCAAGAAAGTTCCAAATAAAGTTAATACTTTTATAAATAATGAGTGTTGTGTATTAAATGAAGTTTTTGTACATAATTTTGTTTTTGCTTTTTAATTATTTCCTTGCTTTTTTATGCTTATTAGATAAAAAAACTTGGTTGAGAAATAAAATAGGGCAATAGCACGTTTGACTTGGCACTTATGAATATATTTATAATAATATTTCATTAAATACTAATAACATAGTTAATCGTTACAGCAAATCGAAACACAAGGTCAATTTTATTCTTGAATCAATCAAATTATATTCAAATTCAACTAGATTTTTTTAACTCTAAATGAGATATAAATAAGTACCTATAATTTGTAAATAGTTTTTCTCACTTTATTACCTAATTACTTCTATTACCTACTATTTTACATTTAAATTTATATACAAATATTTTAAATACTGTCACTGTGTTAATAAGTAACTTTGTTTTTCCCTAAAAGCCGAAATTTAAAAAAAAAATTGATTTTAATGATTTCACTGTTTTTTGAATCTATAACCATGACTATGACATTTAACACCCCGAGTGAAACTAGGTCAACTACCTAATAAATAGTGTATTTATGTATGTATACAAATATATAGTATGAAATTGCCTCTCCTATAAAAGGGTCTAGGAACACCACTGGGGGTTGATTATGGGACTAACAATCTCACATCGTAAAATATAAAATATCTATAAGGTACTAAAGTCTAAAATATTGTTGAGAAAGTTATAAACCTTATTTTACACGAGGTATTTGAGACCAATAGTTACTTAAGGAATCAAAATATGGTTCACAACAAAATGAGACAACAATAAGTGAGCAATATTCAAAAGAAAAATACTCAGAAATATTTTTGGTGTGGTGTATAATATAGAACAAAGAGCATTTGAAAGAAGAAAAATGAAGACTTGTACAATCTATATGGAAAATCAAATATGCTGTCGTATCTAAGGACAAAGAAATTAGAATGGTTTGGACATGCATGGAGAGTCGGAGACGATTTAATAAAAAAAATCCCTTAACAGGACCACTCATAAGGCTAGACCACTATGTATGCCACAAATAAGATGGAAGGATGTAATAGAAAAAGACATGTGAACGAAAGATAAAAATGCTTCAGTGAAGTTAGCATTTGACAGTGTGAGATGGAAAGGTTTGCTTGTGGCAGCTCAGGTTCTGCAAAGACCATTAAGCTATTAAAGAAGAATAATAGTTATCTAATCTCACCGGCTAACCAAAATCTTTTTTTGATTGTAATCATTTATTTTTGCTACATTTTTATGTGTAACTAAATTACATTAAACATTCTAGATAATAAAACAATGATCTACCCGTGGCAATTGTATAATAGTTTTTAATATATAGGAAGATAATACACTCACTTCTAATAATAATAAATTCAATACATACTTGACAGTTTCGACGGGCTTCATTTCTTTGTCGAATTGGCGATTTCACAAACTTATAACAAACGTTGTTGTACTGAATCCAGTATTGCGGACAGCTCTTAACAATGTCCACTTCATAAAATTGTGACCAAGTAAACGGAGTTAAGCACAATACAACGAAAATAGATAAATAACCTGAGACGATCATTTTAAATTCGTTTACAGTATTTCATATATACTTTTAACTTGAGGTTTTTTGACCATTCATCGCAATTTACAATACAACCTTAGTAGATAAAGAATAAAAAAAATAAAAACTATCGCTGAATTAGTTAGGATAACTTACAACAAAAAAAGTAGACTTTGTCTTAGCAATGATGAATAATGGATGATAATAATGATGGATTTCTTCTTCTTTTCCTTCGCCTCTCTCACTTAAATAAATAATTTTATTTGAACTACAGACAAATAACTATGATATAACAAAAAATTAATAAACAAAACACCAAAATTTGAATGCGTAATCGGGTTAAGAAATGTTTATAACATTATCACTGTCGGAATGCGGCATACGCCCATTTGTATGACGCCGTTTTTTTTTTATTTTATCATTTTCATGGTTGTTGTTTGTTGTTTATGTAACGGAATTATTTTGTTCGAATTTTACAAGTTGCAAACAACCTGAAGATATAATAAAATACTTCTATATAATTATAAAGAAGACACTTGCACCAAATGTATATTTTATCGATAACTAAGGTAACAGTAACAAATTAGGTTGGTAGTATTGGTACCAAACATGGTTTAAGATAGACCTGATAACCCCTGACTACCGTAGATATTATAGAATATTAAATATTATTATTACTACAACTTCTAGTATTTTATAAAACCTTATTATACGTATAAAACACTTATATTCAAGCGTAGGGGGAGAATAGCGGAGCATTATGTATTCAAACGCTGCGCGTTGTGCTACCACACAATATGATACTCTGTTACTCTCCTCCCACCCAAACTTCAAAATGGAATAATTTGTCAATGGATTGATAGGAAACAAAAATGTCAACACCAACATGTAAACCGGGGTAACTTTGACCCCGGGAAGTAATTTTGGCCCACAGTGGAATTTTAAATACTTCTGTATGTTGTGATAAAACATGACAATATTATCAAAATGTTGTCGTGGTTTCCGATAGTTAACAATACTAGTAACCGAATGTGATAACAGTCCACCACTTGTCTTCTTATACATAAATATTTTTTTGAAATCACTTTTTTTGTACTCTAAAAGAGACGTGTTTTAACTTTTGTTTAGTACTTAGTGATTGAATCTTCATAGAACGTTCTAAGTCCGATATTATCTCACATATGTAATACTAATAAAGCATTTATCAACAATTTAAAAAAAAAAACAAATCTTTCGTTTCGAGATTGGGGTTACTGGACCACTAAATAATAGCAGGCCAATTGCCAAAGAAGGTTGTATGATAGTTGATGTAGATAAACAGCGGTCAGCGACTCAAGGCTCGCTATGGTATAGCACAGTTTATAGTGTCTTATCTATGGTAGCAACGCATCGAGAGCCATTGTGATCGGTGATTGTGGTCGCTCCTCACATCTGGAATGGAACGTCAAAAAATTATAATTAATAAGTGAAATAATAATAAATTTTATTCATCATCTTTTATCTTTTGGACAAATCCAGTTTTTCAGTTTAAATATATACTAAAAGGATTTCTTTGTTTATTTAAACTGAACAGCTGAAGAATCTATTCTACTTAATTTAAAATTAATAGGAATTGATCAAATAAATTACATACTATAAGTACCTATATTAGACTATTAATAATCATTTTAAGTGTTAGAATAGCATTTATGAAGTTATTTATCTTAACTAATGTTTTAATATAATTAAACCAACATTCAAAATATTCAAATTTTTAACATACTTATTTAAACATAATATCGACCATTTGCTTCTATAGTTTGACCATTTACCAAATTCAATATTTCTACATATCCATAATATTTGTGTGGAACTTAATTCAAACTTTCTATAGATTTTAGATTCTGAGCAGTGAGAAATGTATTGGTTTAAAAAATTGGTGTTTTTTTTTTTTTTTAATTTTGTCCTTGCAGGCAACAAATAAAAAGTAAAACTTTCATACAATTTAGTTTGTGCTAATGGTATATTTCACACCGTTTTTAATCTTCGATATAATAAGTTTTTTTTATATTGTAATAATTTAACTAATTTAAATATATTTTCACAGAGTTCATCATAAAACTGTTTTGCTACAAAGAGTTAAGCCAATGGGTCTTCGTCTAATGATATTTTATTGGCTTTTCTTAAGGTTACATATGTACTTTTACTAGTTTTTCTGATTTTTTTTTCATATTTTCTATTTTAAGATAACAAAAACTATTGACATAAACCCAGATTTCTTTCTCCTTCTAAATTTTAAAAAATTTTCATTTGTATTCTATTACCTATATAATTTGTATTAGTTTGTTTTTCTTTTTGTCATGTGTTGATCATCCTTAGATATGGGACAGTAAAAATTAACTAGTGTAGTTTAAAAAGATTCAATAATTCTAATATTAAATTTGAAAGTTCCTTGTTTCTAAAATACATTTATTTTTCATATTATAGGATTATTGAGAACCACATAATCAAAGCAACAATTCAAATAATATTAACTTAGTCCTAGACATTGATAAAAATGTGTTATTTTTATCAGGATACTGTGAAGCTGAACAATCAAAATAAAAATTATTTTCAGAAACAAAAATTGCCTATCATTAATTCAATGGTAAGTAGGTACCTGGGAATAAATCTAGTTAACTACCCATGAACGTTTTTTCAAATTTTTTTTCTCAAAATATATGTTTTTGTTTGTAGATTAAAAATCTCAAAAAAAAAGTCTAACAAACTTCGTTTGGGAGTTATGGGAAAACTTCATAAAGTTTGGGTTTTCCGTTTCATGTATTTCTTAGTTAGAATTTAACATTTTTTTTTCCTTTTTTTAATTTTTTTACAAATTATACTTCTTTCTTTTTTTTTATTCTGTAGACCACTTTTATCCTAAAATACTTGGTCTGATGTATAAGTGTAGCACCTTTTCTGAAAGTCAATTTTATTTACTTGGTAAATACATAAGTCATTTTTTGATTTTCGAAATGGTATTTGAAATAAAAATGATTAACTTTTTTGTTCAATACCTATTGATATTGGGGAAAAAAAAACAATTTTTTTTTTATTTTGACTTACTTAAAATAAGATTTTATTATATGGTACCATATGATACTGTCATACAATATTTTAAAGAAAATATAAGTATTATAATTCAGTGGTATCATATGATTCCACTGTGAATGAAGAAGTTAATTTAGGATTTTTTTTTCATGATGTTTCCAGTTGAGCGGAGAGTCAAGATACATTCCTAAATATTTTACCGAGTCTGCTCTGTTGGATGATCTGCTGATCTAGCAATACTGGTTTATAAACAACTTTATGCAGGGTATTATTTATCTGCACCAATTTTTCGCTGTTAATTTTGATTTTCCAACATTTCGTCCACTTGGAAACATTGATTGACCTTTGAAGCCAATCAGTCACAGTCTGCTGGTCTTTATTTATTGTCATTATTGTTGTGTCATCAGCAAACATGACTGTCATTGAATAGTTGTTGGTTGGAATGTCCACTGTGTAGAGTAAGTATAGGATTGGTCCAAGGGCGCTTCCCTGGGTACACCTGCTGATATGTGTTTCCAATATATTCCATTTAATAAAATAAGTTTTGACTAGTTAATTTATTTAAATTTAAGAAACAATTTATGAAATGTAATATTTAGACTTAGAGACTTCTAACATTTGCATATTATTTTTGAAAGATCAAATAAGTGTTAAATAAATTAAATTAACATATTTAGTATTAATAGTCAAATATAAATATTGTTCATTATTTAAAGAATCTAAATCCTAAATTTTATTTTGTAGTGTATTTTACAGTTTTTTTTTTTTTTAAATCATTTAATAGTAATATAGCTTTTAAGTCCTATGTAAGGATATGCTCTTGTATTATCTCTCTCGCCTATGACTGTACACTTTATACTAATAAAAGTTCTTTCTTTATAGGTGTTGGGAAATTTCTTAAAATACCCAGTCAATGAAAGTAATGGTACTGAAACCACCTCTGACTGCCACTTCCAAAACTGGACTAAGTCCTTTAATTTTGGCATATCTGTTTAATTTTTACTGTATTTAATATGGACATTACACATAACTAATGGGTCCTGACTTTGAAAACCTCCTTAGGGTTCACAATGGGGGCCCAAGAAGGAAAAAAAGGAGCATCCTTTCTTCTTTCTTTAATTGTTGAGACACTCACAGTTGTCCCCATTTACCCTTTTTATTTTCCCTCTCAGTGTAATAAACATATTAACAACATTATATTTTTTTATGTATAGTAATTACATACATTAATCACAGTTAAATTGACAAATAATTCAAATTAGGTAGGTACCTTGTAATTATTTTGTTTACATTTCAATTTTGTTTAAAAACAAACATTTTCTTTAAAATAATCACCATTTTTCACTTTATACATTCAATAAAATAAATTACCACAGTATATTGTGTCATTACATCACCAGTAAAAATAATATAGGCACTTAATTTTTTTTTTTTCAAACAATACATTAATCTTGCATGAAATAGTTTAAATAGACAAGGGGTACATGTAACAATACATACATTATCCCACTGGTGGTGAGAGAGGAATGGATGGTGAAATTATGACTATGGGTTTTAGGAATGCAGCAGAAAGTCACGAACCAGGTAGTAGTTAAGTTGAATATATACCCCTGAATAACATCATCTCAGGAAGGAGTAGTCATCAGAAGGATACCACAGTCTACCATCTGGAACCTCACTTGCCTCTGAACTGGACAAACTGAAGATGTAGGATTTACTGGTAATATAAGATCATACAAATTATTTGTATCATTATACAAATTATTTGTATCATTTCTCGTCTTATATTAACCCAACAAATGTTGTTGGTCTGTTATATAAATATCACACACTAAGTTCAAATTCCCAAGACCTCATAAATATAAACATAGAGTTACACTCTCATATTTTATCTTATTGTATATCATGTAATATACACACTTCAAGTTCATATAGTCACTGATATATAATAGCATAGCCAAAAAGAGTATCATACATTAGTAAATTTAGTTAACATTGAATTTGTTTAATAACTCTCAAAATATTCTTCTCAAAACACACAGGTTTCACATTTATACCATTAGTAGGTTATTATAACCAAAAATAAATAAATAAATTAGATATATATCAAGTTTTTAGTATACAATTTTTAACAAAATTAACAAAATTGTTTAAATCATATTGTTGGCATATTTGGTTGTTTTTTAAATGATATTTGTATGCATATTTCAATGATTTTTAGATCTAAAAGTCCTTAAGCCTAATAATATTTAATATTTTTAATATAATATTTTAGACATACCTATTTAACATTCACAATAACCTGTATTCTGTAATTCTATTAATTTTTAAATCGTTTTTACATTTATAGTTTCTATATACAAAACAGTATAAGGTAATATTTTTCCTTCTTCATATGCATTTATTTGACCTATTAGATATATTCTTAATATTCTTAAAATTCTTAAATAATACTACACTATTCATATTTCAAATACTTTATATACATTTAGTATTTACATTACTATGATACATTATCAGATATATTTTGTCATTAAAACTTATTACAAAATTTAGACTAGATACCAATTTATAAAGTTTACTATGTTTTAAACAATATATGTATAAAAAAAAAAAAAAACGAATGTACTTCACACGATGGGTAGACCATAGTTTTAAGTGAGAAGTATGGAAGGTAGGATATAAAGAGGAACTTAATGTATTTTTGTTTGCAACATTTAATCATTCCTAACAAAAACCAATTCTGAGTGGAGTTTGGTTACACATGTTTAGAAAGACGATAATATTTACGATTTTTGTCAAAATTTGATGCTAAAATTAAAAAATACTACAATAAACTCAAATTTAACCACTTAGTACAACTTATAATAAACCTCCTGTTCAATTTTAAAGCATTTCTGTTTGTACTGACAATTTTATCTACTGAGTACCTACTGGATAAATATTAAAAAACTCCGAAAATTAGAATGTCTATCAATAGCTCAAAAGTGGCATAAATATTTTAAACATTTTACCACATATACAAAAGGCAAATTTCAAGTACTTATGAAAACTTTTCACTGAATTGCTACAAAATGTACAAAATCGAAAATAAGAAAACCAATATTTTCAAAAAAAATTACGGTTTTTTCTATTTGAACCAGCTTAGTTAATCAGAAAAAGACCAGTAAAAAAGCAAAATTTAAATTTAAAAAAATTTAGAAGAAAATGTATTTTCAGAAAAGTTGATACACTTGAAAATCAAACAAGATTTTTGGTAGAATTTTTGTACACAGTATCCCTCTATTCAGAATCTAAAATATTGCTGGAATATAATTTGTGTATGCTTAGGTTAAGTGAGTTAAAAAATAAATATAAACAAAAGTTTTTATGTAAGGAGAAAATAATTGTTTTAGATTCTGGTGTTTGATGACACTTTCTTCCACTTTCTTACATCTACATCATATACATCAGAGTAAGCTTTCTGGAAGAAAGTGTCACCAAACACCAGAATCTAAAACAATTATTTTCTCCTTACATAAAAATGGTTACATTAAAACTTTTGTTTATATTTATTTTTTTAGTTTCAGCTTTTTTAACTTACTTTGATGTATATGATGTAGATGTATGATGTATCCTTTTTCTGAAAGAAAATTTTCTTGGGGTAGTACTTGAGGGTGTTCATTTTTTGATTTTCCTAGCAGTTTTCCCAATAAAAAGGAACAGTGAGAAAAATGGAAAAATATAATATAAGGAAGTATATTAGTAAAATCTCAAAATTAACAAAATAAGATGATTTTCGATATTAATAAAAAAAATTGATTTCCATAATTTATTCATCAGAGGAATTTTTTGTGAGATTAGTGGGTTTACTATTATTGATAAAAATGATAACAGTACTTATCTCAGTATTATATAATATCAATAATATAAATTATGTTATTATTTGATCAATAACTGTCTTTTTGGACAAATGGGTGATTCATTTTAAAAAAGCTGCTCTCTTTTTCTAATAGAAATGAATATGCTTTTAGTGACCCATTGTTTTAGTTTTATATATTTACATTTTTAAAAGGAGAAAAACAACTAGCTGTGTGAATTGCATTTTTAATTTTAGAACAAAATATTTCAAATGCTATATCAATTTGGTTAGCATTTATGGTTTCATCCCAACATTAGAGTAATTCATTTAGTTGAACACAATACATTTTAAATTTATATTTTTTAAAAGAGTTATTCTTGTTTAGATTATAAAAAGAAATTGGTCTTTATCACAAGAAACTTAATACTATAAGTTTTATTTTATATGATTTTGACCTTTGACAAATATATAATCAATTCAAGACTGTGGTATTATGGGTACTTAATGTAATGTTTTTTTTTATATACAGTGTATGGATTTTTTAAAGCTGTTAATATTAAATATTTTTAAATTATTTTTTCTAATTAGTGTTTCTTAAATTAGTGTGTAAACAATTAATATTCAATAAACTACTATTATGATAAGGAATTAAACCCGATTATTGTTAATTGTGATTATTATTGTAATACTTTATCATAACAATAGTTAATTGAATATTGATTGTTTTCACACTTTTTTTTCTAGAAATTAAAACAGCTATTACTAAGAAACTATTCATCCGATATGAATGTATGATACACTAAAATTTTTAGAATTATATACTGTACAAAAGGACTATTTTGAAAATAATGTAAAGTAAATAAATAAAGTTTTTTTTTTCGTAATTAGGGAGTTAAAATAAAAATTTAATTTCTTTCCAAATCGACATCCCACTCTTGAAGACAAATCAATTAAAATAAAATGTAATATTAACAGCTCTAAATAATCCATTGAACAAGTGTGGGACACACTGTATGTACTATCTGAATAGCCTGGGTTCCTCCATGTGCAGTTTTTTATATTACCTGTAACTTTTATTTATCAGTTTTTATATTACAGTTATAGGAAAAGAATAAATGTGCTAAAAGTGTTTGCTGTCCTCATGTGCCATTTTTTAAATTCTTTTTACTTTTATTCCCATTTTGCTTAATATATTGGACGAAAAAAAAATAAGTGGATAGTAAGTATTCTTACTGTATATACCATGATATGTTATTTTGCTAGGTTTTGTTGCTAGATCCACATCTCCAAGGTAAATAAATAAACAGAATGTAGAATTGTATAATAATATTATATTTTTTCACTATTAAGGTTTTTAAGGGTGAAGGGATTGAGTATTAAATCTCTCTTAAAGCCTTTGCTATTGCTAGATTTTATTATCATTATTGTTATTATTATATTTTTTTTGTAGCTGAATTAACAAACAATATCTAGTAGATACCATAGATACCACTTAATTAAAAAAACATAATAACAATATTTACTTTGTTATCAAGGTAACCCAATTAACAAAAATTATACCAAAAAGTACCAAATTCCTTTTCAGCTATCCTATAAAGGTTGAATTTTAGAAATTTTCATAGCTATAAACCTTCTTTTAGACTACTGAGAACATTTCGCAAAAAAAACTGTTAAAGTAGTTCAGTGGTTTTTGAGTCTATAAATATATATGTAAATAGATATAATTTAACCAAACAATTTTTAATTTTTCTTTTTTATACTATTTTTGTTTCAGAAATTTTAATATTCTTAACAAGGTGGTTGAACATTTACCTATGAAATAAAAGCTATACCTAAATATATGAACTGTTAAACTGTAATAAATGAGAAGTCATGTTTGATAAGTAATATAGATGTGATTCTAAGAAGAATTGATACAAAACCTAAAAAAACATATTCAACAATGCTGTATCAATTATTAACAAATGAGTTCAATGTACCATAAAAATAACTACATTACTGACTTAACATATTATCAGATTATATTATGTAGTATTTTCTCAAAATATCATAATTATTGTGCTGAAATTAAATATAAAATATTATTTGTGGAAAATGTTTAAAATTATTTAAATTTCTCAGAATATATAATAATAATAGTAATAATAAATATATAAAATATACATTTTTTTTCTGTTAATGTAATTTTTTTTTATAAATATTATGAATATATTAATTATAATTAGGGACTGGATTTATATGTGCTTAAAATTCACAAAAAGTGCTTAAAAACGTCAAAAAATAGTCTTAAAACTTTAAAAGAACAATAATGATAGCGGGGGTTTAGAAGTCTTCCTGTCTTTAATGGTTGGAACATATTAAAAATAATTTTTTAATACTACAAAAATGATTATCACAAAGAAATTTTTTATCAAAAAAATTTTGTAAGTGTTAAAAACAAAATGCTTTGTGTTAATCACTTTTCAGTGTTACAAAATCGACTTAATAAGGTTCAAACCATTAGAGGAAGAATTTTAAAATTCCTCTACCTTGTTTTGCTTTTTAAATATTTATGAGTGCTTCTTTAACGATTTAAACGCTTTTTTTGCAGACTTGAAGTGCATATAAATCCATTCCCGGATTATAATATATGGTAATTTGCACGGCTTAAAAAATAGGTACACCTTCTATACTCTGTTTCAGAAGAGAATATACTGCTTTTGTGACCAGTTTTCGTTCAGATATGTTAAGAAATGATGTTTCTATGATATCTATAGTTGTGACTGGTGCTACCTGGTGAGAATGCGCACCGCTGAAAAAAAACTGGTAGTGAAAGCGGTATGTTCTCTTTTGAAACGGTGTATAGATAACATTGCCCATGAAATAATCTCTAGATTTAATAAACACTAAAATTCATATATTTGTATAGTACTATAGTATCACAAAACATAAGGATGATCATTAAAGTTAAAATATTAATACTATATATTTTATACAGAAACACTATGGGTATTCAAATTAAAAATATTATTATTATTTTAATTGTTTTTGATTAGGTTTGGTATAGGAAACCTTTTTCCATGAAAGATATTCAATAATCCTGTGGGCTTTGATTAGTATTGAACATGAAAAAACAACAAAAACATTGTTTAAATAATAAAATGCTTACATTAAAGATTTAACCTGCCGCGCAAAATTTGAAAATCAATAATAACACTTTATTACAAACTCTAATACCGCAAAAACTGGGGATAAATTGCCCCCAACATGTTTTTTTCAGTTTTTCAAATAATTTTTTTTTTTTAAAAAATTATTAGCTTAAATAATAATTAAAAATAATGGTATTTCAGTATCATGTTAAGTATTCAGTATTTTAGTGATTTTTTTGTATAAAAAGTAAATTACTCTGTTGAATATACAAATATTTAATTTTTAAAGCACTATTCTTCTGGTATTTAACTATTTATATCTTAATATTGCAACCAATAAAATTGGTTATAAATTGGAATAAAATAAATACAAACTACAAAGTACTTACAACTGAAGAAAAGGTAACTACATTGTAAGCTACTATATTTTATCTACGGGTTACTACTCTGTATTTTTTCTTTTGANCGGTGGTTCTCGACCAACCATTAACTGATTAATTTTCATTTCGCTTAATCTTTGTTCTTTTTTAAGGACATCAATTAATTGCTATATAGTTAGATGAAATGAGGCTAGCAATGATGAAAAGGCTTTATGCCAACCTTCGACAGAGTTCTTAGTTTTAGGTAACCCCTCTAGTGTCGTGTCATTCTTTTTCCACATCATATATATTATAATATAAGTTGAAAAAAACTTAATTAAAATAACTTTATGTATTAAACAAATAACAAAAATTATTTTAATTTAATGATATAATTTATTAAATTTATTAAAAATAAAGATTTAATAATTCTTTTGTTAAAGGCAATAAAACGTTTTTTGTCATTTCCTAAAGTTACTAATAATATTTAACTCACAATATAACATACCTGTATGACTATATACCATGGTAAATCAATTTAAATAAAAGTACCTATTATGAATATATGTATTGGTTACAATTTTATAAACTATTATTTAATAACCACTAACCAAAAATTGAAACAAAGTAATTGTATTAATAGGAGGTACAATGCATATTATGTTGTACAGTTAACCAATGCTCATTTTTTATATTGTAATTAATCAGTATTTCGAATTTCATGATATTAATTATACACTCATAAATAGAGCATATTTTTATTGTGCAATTCTGATTGCTCCATCACACAATAATTTTGTTTTAAACTTTTTTATATACTATTCAAATGAGCTAATTATTTAAAACATTTTTATAATTTAGTGCCTTAAAACTACACACATAAAAAAAACGTACACAAGAACCAAATTGTATTTGTTTCAATTTTTTTTTGTTTCATTTTAAGACATAAAAAACACTAAAATGTAATATTCTTAAATAAATAGACACTGATCAAATTTCAAAATTAATATTTGGCTANAAAAAAATATCATTATTATATTTTAATCCATAATTTTCAAACTTTTTGGCAATTCAAATTTAATGTTTTGATATTTATAAAGTTTAAAAGCTGTATGAGTATACAAAACTATAAGCTCATTAAAAAAATATAGTATATATATAACAGTAATATAGTCATTTTTCTTTTATTATTATCTATTTATCTAGTATGATTTAAATTAAAATATAATTTCAATTTTTTGTTACATTTTAATTTAATTATATATTCAATAAATAAAATATATGTACAATGTATACTTTCTAAAAAAATATTTATGACAAAACATTTTTAATAAAGATTAAAATTATGGTAAAATATTTTTATAATTATACAAAAAAAAAATGTATGTTATCTTATTTAAGTTTTACAATACAATGATTGATAAATACATTTTTCAATTTAAGTACCTACTACTGTATTATACACAAAATGAAAAAAAAAAAAAAAACTCAATGAAACAGACATTGCTATAATAATTAACAATATTGATTGATTTTTAAATCTTCATGAGGTCATTAATTTAATCAGAAAATAAATCTAGTTTATAAAAAAAATTGTTAAAAACTGCAATTTGTCAAATATGGTTATAAAATCAGCTTTTTAAAAAACTGGTGAGGACTTGATCAAAAGAAAACAGCAGTTATTTTAAAAAATAATCAACAATATACCTTAAATTATTAATAATTTAAATTTTCATAGATTTCTGTACCATGAAGTATGTGTTCCTTAATCTTCATTTTAAAAATAGTAGTGGTATATTTTCATTTGTATACTTCTAGTTAATAAGAGAAACATGAATACTATATTTAACTATAATTTTATTTAAAGATCATCAAACTGTTCTGATAAATACACTCCAGTAGTTGATGAAAAGGGTATCTTAATTACTTTAGTCTTGGCGTTTACCATCATTGAATCCAACCAGCTTTGTAAGCATGGTACAGATATTAAGTCTAAATAATTTGATGGGTCTTCAACAATTTCAAGAAAGTCTTCATCACGTAGTTGTAATTTTCTTGACCTTAAAATTGGTATATTGTTTCTAGGTTCTCTTGTATGTGGCATATCTATACTGTAGCCAATATTATGCTGATTTTGGTGATGCAGAGTAATAAATGAATTATTTAACTTGTCTTTATCAATTTTAAGAATTTCTAAGTCTTCAGATTGTGGTTGTAGTTTTAATTTTATTGACTTTAAAATCGGGATATTATTAAAAGGTTCTTTTGTTTCTGGCATATCTATACTGTAGTTAAGATTATACTGATTTTGTTGATACCGAAAAATGAATACATCAGTTCCTCGAAGTAACTCATATGTTAGGCCCCAAATTACATGTGTTAATGTTTTGGAGAGTTTTTCAAGACATTCAATTAGGCGACAATTGATTGTTGAACACTAAAAGAATAAATCATTTTAGTAGGATTTAATTAGCTTATAAGAAATTAACAATAGTATAATACTTACATCCCGTACATAGACAGGAATTATCAATAAAGCTGTTAAACCATCGCATTTTGCCAATTCTTGTGCCACACAATCATTGAACTCAATGTTAATTAGTTCTAAGTTCTTTAATTTTTTTATTGATAAAATAGCATCAAAATATTCTTCTGTAAATTTCTCCCATCTATCAAAACAATTCTCTAATCTTAAGGATCTTAAATTGGTTAATTTTTTCAAAAACTTAGGGAAATCATCAGGTAAACATGTACAGTCTCCAATTTCTAAAACTTCCAGGTCAGTTGAAATTGTTTCTAAACGTGTGCAGAAATCTTCTGGGAATGATTTAATGGATGTAATGGAAGTTAATGACTAGAAAAAAAAAATAAGTAAAATCATAATAAATATTATAACCATACATTGAAATAATTAAATGGTATACAAGTATAATTATTTAAATAGTAATATTGTACATTTATATATTTTTAAAGGACGATTAATGTAATTGAAAGCAATTATATTCATAGAAGTAAAAACATAAACTTCTCCATCTAAAACTAGAATAATAATTTAAGTTATTTTTTAAGTACAGCTATGATAACTTACCAACGTTTTTAGTTTGGTCAAACATGAAAATGTTAGTTCTGGCGAATATAATAGCTTAATTCCAGTTAGATCTTTTATTCGTAATTCTGTTAGATTGGTCATGTTGCTTATACATTCTATGTTATGGGGCACAAGTTTATTTACAATTTTTGCATCTTTCGGTACATGTAGATTTCTGAGAAACAATAAAATTAAATCATTAGCTCTATATTTTGTAAAGTATAAAAATATCATATGCTTAAAATTACTCTATTGAAGTGGCATTTTTCAATTTTTCAAGTTGGTGTAATTTATGCCTAGCATCATAAACAGCACTAATTGGAACATTAAATATTTCACTTAACGCTTCCTTTAGCGTTATTGTTGGCACTTTCATTTGAGATGTTCTGTAATAAATTAATACAAATAATTCAGTTCATAATTGTTTCTTGGTTTTAAATAGAAAAAAGCTTATTTTTATTTGTATGTTCTCGACCAGGCACATATAAAGTATACTACCATTAAATATGCAAACAAAAAAGGTCATAGTACTTGAATGAAATAATAAGTAAATAAAAATAGGGGTTGACGGAAATTAAGGATGTAAATTTTAAGCTCAAATCTGAAAACAAGCACAACCAATTGAATTAAAGTATTAAAAAAAATTATTTACTCTCATTCATAAAAATAAAACTAATGACCAATGCTACTTTATGCTTGGTCAATATTATATTCCTCCTAAATAAAAGGAACATTTGATAATTATTCATCCATCTAAATTTTTAAGTTTTTGAACAACACAAGTCATCAAACTAGGACCTTGTGTCTGTTTTATTTCATACACATATTATTCATGAAAACTACCAGCTAACATAACAGTTTTACAGGCATTCCCTTGGCATGTAACTGCGTTTATAAACGAATCATCTTCATCAATATGTTTATTAATCTCATTGTGTTGTTCTTCACTTTTGGAAACTTTCAATAAAGAAATTAGAAGAATTTGATGTTTTATATACTTGTCATATATGAATGTTTAGACACGTCTATTTTTTTGTAAGACACAAAATTTTGCATGGAGCCTGCATGATAACTTCCCCATCTGATGTTGATAACCCAGTTTACTCCATTCACGGATATGGTTTAACTGAGGAAAGATTATGAAGGAAGCATAAGGATAACAACCCCCTAATTTAGCATTAAATTTGTGAAGCTAATTTAGAAACTAACAAGTAAAAAACTGTTTAAGCAATAAAATTATTAAATAAAATTTATATACTACCGTTGTTTAATATTTATAGAATTTTCCATATTATCCAGTTTTGGACGTTTTGGTGAAGAAACTGTTGAAAAATCATTCGAAAATTGATGTAGTGGCATCTTGGTTTTATTTGATTTGAAACTACTGTCATCCTAAACACACGATATAGAAACCCAAATTAAACAACATTCAATAAAATGTTTAATAACATGTCTTACTTTAGATGACTTAGATTTTGCATCTCTAATTAATTCTTTTGAACAATCATTTATGCCTAATGGTAATTTAGAAAATGTGAAATTTTCTATGGTTAAAATTAACGTCCCTGATAGTTTCAATTCTTCCTGGATTTCTCTCATCGATCGTAACTTTTTATTCTGAGGTGAATGATAGTACACATCGCTCTTTCTCTTAGTTTTATTACTAGTAGTATCATCTAACTTTGAAGTCCTGTAGACTAATTCTCGTTTCCATCCTAAAAAAAAATGACTTATAAATGTAAACAGTATTTGAGTTGGGCAGATGTAGTGCAGAACGAAATCTCGAAAGATCCACTCTTTCTATGTCCGTACAGCACTACATAACCAGGTTTTAAATTTGCTACTAAACAGGAGTTCACAGTCAGCACAAGTCAACACTTTACAGAACATCAGTATTAATAATGAACCAGACTAAAAATTAAAAGTAGCTAACAGGAAGATTTGGATGAAAGTATAATAAGATGGTTTATTGACAAAAACCCCAAAAGTAAGAAGTAAAAATAACAAAATAATATACAAATACACTTACCATGAGCAAATGGTAGCTTAAATTTAGGATCAGTAATATCTATATCTGTTCTACGGCCAGACTTTTGAGTTGTGGATACAATCATTGTATGTGCTTCAAATATCAAACACAATTTAATTTGCACAAAAAACAATCGCACCTACAATATAAAAATAAAATTATAATAACAATATAAAATATTTTGAGTTATACTTTAAAATATGAAATTAAATTAAATCATTAATGTCATTAGAGTTTTAGCTTTGGTAATTTATGACCCTTCAAAATACTATGAATTGTAATTCATACAGCAATAATTTGTGTAAGGAAACGCAACTAAATACATTTCACCTCAACAACCAAAATATTAACTACAATACAGTATACCATTCAAAATGTTTCGTTTAATATTTTCAAATCATATTGATAAAATGAATAACAAATTAGCCTTAGAAATCAATGATATAATCTATACCTTTAAATAATGTCAGTCATAGCATAGTTTTTTTAAAATTATCCTTATTATACACACAATGTTGATTTTAAAAGGCAATATTAAATTAATATAGGCGGGCATTATATGATGTAAAAATTTTTCAAAACATGATCAAATCAAAAATTCAATCCGATGTTAGTTTTTATTTTTTTTTTATCATTAGCTGCAATTTTACGTAGACAACATCTTAGGAAATAAAGCTAGATACGTGATGCATTTTAAACTATTAAAGAATGTACTTTTTTAATTAGTACCTACTAACTTATGACATGAATACAAATATTAATATATTGAATTTCAATATAATTAAATTACTGATATAAATAATTATAAATAATTTAACGATAACAGGTATTCATTATAAGGAGTTTAAATGTATTCTTAAAATTATGTACGTTGTTTCAAATGAAAAATGTATGTGGGTATATATTATATAATATACAATTAATATATATGTACTAGCTGATCCGGCAAACGTTGTTTTGCCATATAAATTAATAGTTAGATGTCTAATGGATATTTTGGTAGTTAAACAAAAAATAACTAAGTTATTGTGAGTATGTAGGGATGTGGGACTGAAAGTAGAACATAACACTGTGGGCGATGACCCTCTCTTTTACCACTCAATTGTGAACATAAAGCAACTGGTTTCGCCAAAAATGTTATCTTTAACAATTAAATCCATCAGTTTCTTGACCTTCAAATGAAAAACACGTGCAATATTGTCATTTCGATCTTGAGGTTTCGAATTTTGAGATAAACAGGATTTTATTTCAGACCAATTGGGATTGCAGGTCATTGTAATAAAGAGATCTGGTCTACCATTTTTGGCAACGTAAACCATCTTGCTTGCGTTGTTGCATATACCAAGGACCATCGGTGAAGAAGGCTCATATCCGTTGGATCTCTATCTGACTAAATAGCATCATGAAGATCGAAGTAGTTTTAAGCCCTCAATTTACTTTGACTTGCTCTGATAAAGTTAAGCTGCTCAGTTTAAATTTTTGCATGCATGTCTACTAAATATTGGTTAAGTAGCGAAAAATATTTTAGCATGTTGCTGGAATTACTTCTACTCATTAGTCTGCATGCGTAAAAATTTATTGCAGAAACAGTTTTTACCTGAAGAATCTTCCTTGTAGTTGGATCGACTTGTGGAATTTTGATACAATATCCATCTTCTCTACGACAAAACATTTATGGGTATTGGTTCAACTACCTACTGTTATAGATATCATAAGGAAATTATGAAATTACTGAAGTAAATACAATTTTTATTACAGATTTAGTGATATAGGTTATGCAAAATATGAGTAAAAATATAAATTTATTAAAAAAAATAAACAAACATTCTAATAATCCCACACTTAAAACAATAGCAAGATTTAAAAAGGTACTAAAAGTATTACAGCTTGAATTGATTACTTTAGTAGTAATTATTCTTTCACAAATAATAGGTTACAACACCAATTATTTACAGAAGGACCATCAGTATGATGCATTATATTATGTAATACAAAGGTAGGTATACTTTTAAGTAAAAATATAAAACTAAATTATTATTATAAAAATTAAGTATATTATACAATATATATATATATAGCATAGTATAATGTATACCTGTCATAAAAATCTCATTATTCACTTTTCTTTTAGGAAATTAGTTTAAATAATAAATAATCAAAAAAACTAGTAAAATGGCCAAAGTCTAGATCCCAATTTCTATAGAAATTCTGGGATTCAAAATGGCTACATAAATTACCATAAAATGGCCATTACGGCAACAATGATTCGAGTTGCTTTTGTGTGGTCGCTTGGACGACTGTTAGAAATATTTTTATGATAGGGATAATAAACTATTTTAATTTTTGACTAACATTAATGGAACGTTTGTTGATGGGGAGCGCTATGCTTATTGGAGGGCGCTTTGAAACGCAAATATACAAAAAATGGATTATTTTTTTCCACTCAAAATATCCTGCTCTTTCCATGATCGAAATAATTCCAATTTTGTCTTAAACAATATATTATTCATTGTCCGTATATAATTAATCTATGTCTCTAACCGGCATTCATACGTTTTTCGACGCTCAAATAAAACTAATTGGTTATAAAAAACAGACTTTCACACATTTTCGTACTTGTAGGGTGGTTTCTTACGCTTTAAGCTGCGATTACATTAGTAGAGTATTTGGTATAGTACACTAGTCTACTATTTTTCCTACTCATTATAATCTACTAGTTTGAGTAGAGTAACAGTTCACACGAAACTAGCGATTTGGTAGAATAATTCGGTACAGTTGATATATAAACTCGTGCCTTCACCAACGTATTAATTAACTGCATTAATCACATTAAAATCATAATACCAAGTCATCGCAAGTTTTTATTTTTATATGATTTCTTACTCTTTACTTAATAATAATAATATGAATATCGCACGTCGTCGTCGTTGCCGAAAATTCTTATAGAAATGTCTTGGAATGGATATAAGTGCGTTAATAAACGACATTTTAGAATTTTTTGATGATAATAATGAAAAAAAAGAAAGTATTTGGGTTCGAGAGTGATTAAAAAGAAAAACTTTACTTAGAGCAACAGAGAATCTTACAAAATTAGCTTTAGAGGATTCACAGGAGTACAGACTATGTTTCAAAATGACACCTGAACATTTTGAACAGCTCTTGAGTTTGGTAGCACAGATTATTCAAAAACAGGACAGAGTAGAGTTAAAACGGTAGTGAGGATAAAAGCATGTAGAATGTACTTTATCACAGTGGTTATCAACTCTACTATACCGATTATTGTTTTTAGTACTCTACCAGCACTTTCTATGAGTGTTTATATTAGGCTAGTAATAGTCAACTACTAACTGTACCCTCGTACTCTACTAAATACTCTTCCAATGTTAACCCAGCTTTATGGTTTTGTTTCTACTATTAACCGAGAGGACGAGATATGCCGAACATTTAATTTTCAAAATTTGAACTTTTTATACAAATAATCGTACAAAACTATGAACGGCAATAGGCGAATGTATTATTTCCTTTCAGTTTCATTCCAATATATTCGTATTTTAGCAGAAACGGTTTGAACGTCTGTGTTCAGAATTTTAGATAAAATTTAACCAATGGAATACCCTATATAGGTATAATTAATTTATCAGGAAATTATTTACATGAGAAAAAAAGAATGTAATCGGTATACCAATAGGTATAGTGAACAATTTGGTTGTTGGTCACACACCCTACGCGATTCGAACACGGGCGTTTTTATTAAATTGACGTCGTGATTAGTCGCCCAAAATGATATGTTCTTATATTGGTGCATTCACACACGCGCATGAAATACGTTGGGCGCTTTTAAAGTACACAGAATTGTGCATGTTTAATTTTTGTGACCGGACGCTCAAAAATTAAACATTTTCTCTCAGTGTATTTTAAATACATTTCGCTTATCAGTGATTGGTACCTCGTTTTTTTGCATTTTAATCTTTATATCTCTGTAGCATGTCAATAAAAAAATAGGCACGTTCGTTGAAAAACTGTTATGACAAAGTAGACAATAATTACTGCAATAGTTGAGGGTATTACGCAGTAGTTATATGGCATATAACAACTTTTTTCGCTTGATGCATAGTTGCACTATATTTATTGTGTAACGTGTGATACCTACAAAGGTATTAACGCATAGGAGCGTTTATCAATTGCGCATCACTATTGCTATTTTCAACCTTTTTTATACATATTTTACAGACATATTTTGCGCACTGTTAATAATGATTAGATCGTAAGTAGGTACATCATTTGCGCATCAAAATGTTTAATTGTAGTTTAAATGTGTATCGGAAATTCTAGCGCCGCTTAAATTTACACCCAATGTGCGCCTATACTAAGCGTGTAAGGAAAGCTGGTTCGCGCTTTTGTCCTCGTTTTTTAAACCGCGTACGAAATGCGTAGTGTAAAACTAGTTTTACAGTGAAAACGGTAATAATAGTATGTGAGGATTCTCGTTAAAATTTTGAAATTATTAAATCCTTAATCATTGAATTTTCCTATACAATTTTTAAAATTGTCGATACTCAGCGATAACAACAAAAAATATAGTAAAAACAGAAAATTTAAAAATAATTTTTTAAAAATATAATTTCGTATGCTACGAGTGTCCACAAAAAAAAAATCTAAATTAATCTAAAAATACAAAATAATTATTTAGTCATTGTTTATTGGCACGCAAAGATTTTGTAAGCAGTTGTTAATCTTTGTTACCACCACATGTTTCTCTATATTATTTCTAATTTACTGCTTGAAAAACCCTTAATATGTATACTTCTATTGGGAATCTATTAATCTGTATATGTTGGATATTATTTTTAATAAATATGCGCAACAGCATAATATGTATTGTAGAGTATTTAATCGCAGTAAGTCATAATATATGAAAATCATGCTTTTAAAAAACTAGTTGAAAATTACCTGTGTTTTTTATTAACTTACAACTATAAATACAAAAAATATTTTTTTTATTATTAAAATGTACGTAATCATTAACAACGGGGTATTTTTTTCTACGAAGAGGCTTTTTTTTCCTAGTATGGTTTTTGGTCAACAAATACTGATGTATCTGCCCACACAATTTAAAGAGCAAATTAATACATAATAATAAAAACTATTTTATTTGAAAAATGATAAATTATACATTTATTTTACTACAGTGAAACATTGTTATATCTCTCTCTAATTGTACTATAATGAATATTATATTGTTTAAGTTTGCCCAGATTCTATCTTACGAGAGTTGTCCCAAAAGTAATGCACAATTTGCTCTGAATAAATAAGTTTTTATTTTAAACTAAATACAATATTATAGACCTTCGATATAATCTCCCTGCTTGTCTATACACGATTGCCATCGTTTTGGGAGCGCTTGAATGCCACATAGGACGCCATCTTTGTTGAGTTCACGGATACTTCGGCTCACTTCTTCATTAAGTATATTTAAGTTGGGAAAACGGATCCCTCTAAGTGGTTCCTTCAGTTTTGGAAATAAATCAAAGTCCGGAGGACTTAAATCCGGCGAATACGGTGGGTGTTTGAGGCGTTCCCATCCATATTTCTCCAAAAAAGCGACGACTGGTGCTCCGATATGCGGCCGCGCGTTATCGTGCAATATGGACACACCATTTTGTAACATTCCTGGTCGCTTTTTACGGATTTCTGGTCGCAATTTTTTGGCAAGGAATGTTTTATAGTAATCCTCGGTTACACTACTGCCAATTGGAACTCGATCAATGACAATTATCCCAAGTTTATCGTAAGCAAAAATCATCAACCGTAACCGTAGAGGGTCGGCCAGAGCGAGGGTTGTTATCAATACTTATACGACCATCACGGAATCGCTGAAGCCATCTTTGCACCGTACTACGATCCACAGTATCCGTTCCACACAATTCATTTAACGCGGCATGAATTTCAGGCACTGTTTTACCATGAATCGTTTCGATTTTAATGTATGCGCGTTGCTCAAAAACAGAAATGTGAGCCGACGAATTGTTCTCACTTTCATTATCGCTCTCACACATCATCATACTTTACTAAAACAACTAAAACTGAAAACACACGTGTTCGTTACTTCAAGCTACAAACTGATACTAAAATCAGCTGATAATATCACATTGCAAGACAGCTAGAGCGCGCTGTGCATTACTTTTGGGACAACCTTCGTATATTTTGAGGCAAATGTGAAAATACACATAATAACCATTTATGGGGAAAATGTGAATTCACAATATTTTTATTTGAATAATGTACGATATTTATATAATTTATTTTCAATGAGTTTTTA